CCATGCCCAGGATCCGAACTGGAGAACTCAAGGCCGCCGAAGTGGAGGGCACAAACTTAACTGCTACACCACCAGGCTGGCCCCTGCCTTTTTCTTTTAAACATATGCTTTGCCCACAGAAGTTTCAGTTTTGCTAGCTTACCTACCTTGAGTTATTTTCTGTTTCATTTTCTATTCCTTTTCCCATCCTCCCATCACCTTCTTATTCTAAGTTATATTTTACCTCCTTCTATTTGTGAGGCACAGTGTTTGTACTGAAGACACTGCCTTTGAAGCAGGTGCACTACCATCTCCCAGATCCTCAGAGTGGTGGAGCAAATGGTAGAGGAAGGAAAACGCCAAAACTGAAGTTTTGACTTCACTAATTCTTTGAAGTGTGCTACAACGTAGGGACTAAGGAGAATCGTATTTGGGCTGCTTTAATGATGTCTAAGTCAGTTTGCTTCAGTTCTTTTTTATGTGGCGTATAAATATGGTACCTCATAAGTATTCTTCAGTTGCCACAAGAGGAAAACAGAATACTTGCCCAGCCCATTTGATAACTTGAATGACATAAGGAATGTTAGGCCAGAGTGCTAATTAAATGTGATCCTCTAAAATTACAAGGCTTCTAGAATGTTCACTAAACAGACTTAGGATCAAATGTTAAAACATTCCATTTCCTTAATTTTTATCAGATAATATTTTAAATATGCAAAAATAAAGTAACTGTAAGTGTGCCAGTTAACCTATTACCTGACCACTCAAAAAAAAGAGTTCTAGTTTGTAACATTTGTCCATTTCTGTGTTGTAAATACTGCCATCTTGGCCAGTTTCCAGCTCCCAACATGACATTTCTGAATGTGGAGTTGGGAAGAGATGTGCACAGTTGACTTTTGCCAGCTCACACCAGCAGGCTCCAACACACCCCTAATGTAGCATATATGTTATGAAGCATAATAATAAAGACCCATATACCTACCACTTGACTTAGAACTAGAACAATACCAATATTTGTGACCTTTCTGTTTCCTTTGGCAAAATTATCTAGATTTTGCCTTTGATGCAATAATAGCAAACTTACTTAACTTGCTTAGTGTAGGCCGGGAACTATTCTTGGTATTTTACTAAATCCTTCAATCCTCACTGTATCTCTGTGAAGTGATCTTATTTTACAAATGAAATCGCACCTAGGGAGGTTAAGCAGCTAAGGCTACACAGCTAGGAAGTGGCAGATCTGGGGTTCCAACCCGGGCAGTCTGACTGCAGAATTTGTGCTCAAAACCACTATACACACTGCCTCTTTTGATGATGATTTATGAATACATTTGCTTATGTTCTAGTGACAAGAGGATTGTATTTGACTATAATAAGGGCAGTGTTTGCCTAGAACAAGATCAGAAGTGCTGCCACTGATTATCCATTCCAATTTAGTGGATTGCAATTTTATTATTAAATGTCTCTTGAGAAATTTTGGAAGTCTACTTTAGAAATACTTTGCTTGCAATCTTTTTTAGTTTTTGCGTGCTTTGCCCTTTTTGTGGGTGTGTGAAATTGACAATGATTTCTTGAGAGTTCATTTTCTGCTCTTTTGAGTTTTTAGTTCTCTCTAACCTCCATTTCAGCAGCAAGTGGCAGTTTAGGAGATGGTTATTCCACACGAATGATTAGAAACAAAAAGATGTAGTGATGGGCATATTTTTGGTGATGTTATTAGATACATACAAAGTCAGTGGAACAAAGATTACTGGGAACTTGAAATGGAGAAATTGCATAAACGTTTAGTGAAATCATAATAAAAAAAATACTTTTTTATTAGAGTTTAGAAATAAGGAATCTGCATCCACTTTTAAGTCCTAAACAGAAAAAGCTCAAACAATGATAGAAAAGACTTGTGCATTTTCTGATTAAATTTCATTAGCCTTACTCAATTGATATATTTTTGCTTCAGTAGAAGATACTATTTGTATTGTCAATTACCAGAGAAATGTTTTTCACACTAATAAAAACTTTAAACTGGCAAATATTAAAGTATTTAAGAAACTGGTAGAGTGAAACATAACTGGTTGAAGCTTTGAAGAGTTTTTCTGCCTATCTATAGAACTTTAAACCTTCTACATAGGTAAGTCTGCTCTTTTTGAAAATCTTCTACTAAAAGGCATCTCGAAAGTTTACCTTAGCCAACGTATTTCTAAGATTTAGCTATCACAAGCTGCTAATCAAGTGGAAGGAGATGTGACATAAGGGAACCTGGATATAAGTTCTGTCATTTAACTAGCCGTGTAGTGTGCAAATTATTTATTTAACTTCTCTAAATCTTGTTTTATAAATAGAAATGCTGGTATCTCACATTCACTGCTCTGGTGGGGATTAAATGATAGGACACGGAACTTAATGGATCTTTGGTATTTTTTCTAAATATTGGCAGGAAGTGTTTATGATCATACGGTGAAAGAGCTGGAAGGGACCCTCGCAATCTCATCTTGCCTTCATTTTGTAAGGGGAGGAAAAGTCAGCTCTGTAGTGAGTGATCAGTGAGTGAATTAGAAGTCAGAAAACATGGTTTGTGAATATATCCCTTACTCTTTCTGAGCCTTTCCCTCTCCGGTACATACTTGTAAAATCTCTTTTCCAAGGAAGAGACTCACTCAACATCTTTTCCAACTTCCTAGTGTGCCTTTCCATAATGCAAAGGCTAGATAACAGAAAAACTACATTTCCCAGCTCCATTGTAATGAGGATTTTGGAAGTGCTTTAGATTTTGCCAATCGGATGCACTTTGCTAAGACTTGAAGTCAAGGTATGCAAGGGAGTCAGGTGTGTGAAGCATTTGTTTTACTGATGTGGGTCTAGCACAGTGGTTCTCAAACCTTAGCATGCAATAGGATCATCTAGAGGGCTTACTGAAACATTGATTGCTAGGCCCTACCCCTAGAGTTCCTGATTCAACTGGTCTGGGGTGAGGCCTGAAAAGCTTACCTTTCTAACAAGTTTCAAGTACATCCTCTTTGATGCTATGACAGTATGTGAGTGGAAATACTGTCTTCTGGAAATTGGAGAAACATTCTGTCTTGCATCCATCTAAAAGAAATGTTTACAAGAGGATCTTTCTCCCTCCGAATTTATATTAAAATTTTGCCACATGAATATTTTAAATTTATTTCATGGAGACTCCAAGTACAGTTACTTGCCTATATCATGGTCTTCAGTTCTGCAGTTAAAATGGCCCGTAATATTACAAATTACTGAGAAATTCTTCCAAGAAAGGCAAATAATTAAAAGCATCAATTAGAAAGAAATATACCATCCGACCTTGTTTTGTTTGGTTTGAGGAGCTTTTGTTTAGGTGGTTTAGTTTGAGAGAAGGGGAGCATATGGTGAGCACTGAGGGACAGAAATACAATGGCAAACCATGAAAAGTGCGTTAGTCTTTGCAAGGTTTAGGAATTCTAAATTATTTTTTTCTATTTTAATTGGTGATTTTTTAAAAATTTATTTTATTTTTTTTGGTGAGGGAGATTAGCCGTGAGGTAACATCTGTTGCCAATCCTTCTCTTTTTGCTGAGGAAGACTGGCCCTGGGTTAACATCCATGCCCATCTTCCTCTACTTTATACGTGGGACGTCTGCCACAGCATGGCTTGATAAGCAGTGTATAGGTCTGTGTCCGGGATCCAAACCTGCGAACCCTGGGCCGCTGAAGTGGAGCATGAGAACTTAACCACTATGCCCCTGGGCCAGCCCCTAATTGGTGATTTTTTAAAATTGATTAATTAGGTAGGGTAGCTGAGAAAAATCCTTGCCACTTTTATATTACTCCTTTAATTTTGTTGTATCCTTACAATATTTTCATTGTTTCAGGAAATTTTATTCCACGCTTAGAATTTCTATGTAGATTTAATTTGAGAAGTAGTAAAATACAAGCAGTTGTCATTTTTTTGATCAGATTACACTGTTTCAAATTTGTTTCTGAATTTTATTGATTTCGTAGCCCAGCCTTTCACTGTTCCTCTAAAATTATTCTACAGAGATAAATTTCTTTTCTTTTTGATATCTCAAACTAGTAGTCATTTTGGCAAATTGACTCATTCATTCATTCAAAAAGTATTAATGGTGTCTGCCATGTGCCAGAAACTCTACTAGGCCTTGGGGAGATGATAGTGAGCAGAAACATTCCTGCCCTCATGAAACTTCTAGTGAAGTGGGGAAGAGACAGACTTTTAGCTGTGTATTAGCACGAGTGTAACATTTAGACAAGGAAAAGTGTCAACAAAAGTGTGTATTCAAAGCTTCCGTTAGAGTAATTTGACTTGTCAAGAAAGGCTTCACTGTGGAACAGGTATCTAATCTGGGAGCTGAAGGATAAGCAGAGATTAAGTAGGCCAAGAAGGGGGGCCAGCCCTGTGGCGTAGTGGTTAAGTGCGCGCGTTCTGCTGCTGGCGGCCCGGATTCAGATCCTGGGCGCGGGCGCGCACCCACGCACTGCTTGTCAGGCTGTGCTGTGGCGGCGTCCCACATAAAGTGGAGGAAGATCAGCACAGATGTTAGCCCAGGGCCAGTCTTCCTCAGCAAAAAGAGGAGGATTGCCATGGATGTTAGCTCAGGGCTGATCTTCCTCACAAAAAAAAAAAAAAGTAGGCCAAGGAGGGAGCAATCCATTTCTAGGCAGAGGGAACAGCGTGTACAAAGTCCCTCAACAGGGAAAGAGTTTGATGAGAATGGGTGACTGAAAGAGGCCAGTGTAGTTGGAGTAGAGAGGGTGACTTGGGGAGAGTAGAGTGGGAGAAGGAGCGGGAGAAGTTGGGAGTGGGTCAGGAGTGAATACTGGCGATTAGTTAGGATCTGTACAGCAGCCCGGGTGAGAGAAGATGGTAGCTTGGACTATGGTGGTGCTGGCAGAGACAGAGAAATGTAGGCAATTTTGAGCCATATTTAGAGGTTTGTTTTTTTTTAATGTATCTGGCTTATTGAGTTGAAGTACATTACAGAAGTTGCAGGTTGATTGATTTTTACTTTTTTCTCTTTAGGAAAAGAGCCTAGCCTGCCTGTGCTACTAGATGAATGGAAAACTCTGATTTAAACAAAGTCCCAACAAGGGATTGCTCTTGATTTTTGTACTTTGTAGCTTTCCTCAAATTTTTTTCACGTCTTCTCTTACTGTAAAAACTGCATTTAAGTTAGAAAAATGAAGCAGTTGAAAAGGAAAAGGAAAAGCAATTTCAGTGTTCAAGAAACTCAGACCCTTTTGAAAGAAATTACAAAAAGGAAAGAAGTCATTTTTTCCAAGCAGCTCAATACAACAATTAACGTGATGAAGCGAATGGCCTGGGAGGAGATTGCACAGTGTGTGAATGCTGTAGGAGAAGGAGAGCAGAGGACGGGGACGGAAGTGAAACGAAGGTACCTTGACTGGCGAGCACTTATGAAGAGAAAGAGGATGAAGGCGAACATCAAGCTGGTTGGTTCAGGGTTTCCCCTTCCCACGTCCGATTTAGATGACTCTCTCACTGAAGAGATAGACGAAAAGATTGGATTCCGAAATGATGCAAATTTTGATTGGCAAAATGTGGCAGATTTCAGGGATGCAGGTGGATCCTTAACTGAGGTCAAAGTGGAAGAGGAAGAAAGAGATCCCCAGAGTCCTGAAGTGAGTATTAGCCTGTGAACCCTCTTTTTATTTCTTAATTCTTTTTTTTTTTTTTGGGAGGAAGATCAGCCCTGAGCTAACATCCGTGCTAATCCTCCTCTTCTTGCTGAGGAAGACCGGCTCTGAGCTAACATCTATTGCCAATCCTCCTCCTTTTTTTCCCCAAAGTCCCAGTAGATAGTTGCCTGTCATAGTTGCACATCCTTCTAGTTGCTGCATGTGGGACGCGGCCTAAGCATGGCGGGAGAAGCGGTGTGTCGGTGCGCACCCGGATCGGGATTGAACCCTGGGCCGCCAGTAGCAGAGCGCGTGCACCCAACCGCTAAGCCACGGGGCCGGCCCTTATTTCTTAATTCTGATGTGGTAGTTTATTATAGTTCAGAACAGGTAAGAAGTTCCCAGATTTTCAAGCTAACTTAAAAATAGTACGTAACAAAGTCATTCCATTTTTTCCTGTTCATAACATTAATCTCTCTCTTTTCACCTAAATGTACTTCTCTCAATTATTTATATTAGTGACATCAAGTAATTCATTGTACATATTTTTCAAAATTCAAAGTAAATGGTTTTGTGTGCTCAAACAATACAAAAAGCTTTTAGGAAATGTTTAGAGAAATTAGTAACCATGAAGTAGAAAGAAATACTGAAAATTGCTTTTCTCTTTTCTTTTAGTTTGAGATTGAGGAGGAAGAAGAAATGCTGTCATCAGTCATACCAGATTCCAGGAGGGAAAATGAGCTTCCTGATTTCCCCCATATTGATGAGTTTTTTACTCTGAACTCAACACCCTCTAGGTCTGCATATGATGAGCCCCATTTGCTTGTAAACATAGAGAAGCAGAAGCTCGAGTTGGAAAAACGGCGACTGGATATCGAGGCCGAAAGACTGCAGGTAGAAAAGGAACGCTTGCAGATCGAGAAGGAGAGGCTGCGGCATTTAGACCTGGAGCACGAGCGGCTTCAGCTGGAGAAGGAGCGGCTGCAGATTGAGAGAGAGAGGTTGAGGTTACAGATGGTGAATGCAGAGAAACCGTCAGTGGAGAATGAACTCGGTCAAGGAGAAAAGTCCACGCTTCAGCCACAGGACATAGAAACGGAGAAGTTAAAACTTGAGAGAGAACGCTTGCAACTGGAAAAAGACAGGCTGCAGTTTTTGAAATTTGAATCGGAGAAGCTGCAGATTGAAAAGGAACGCTTACAAGTAGAGAAGGAGAGACTTCGCATTCAGAAGGAAGGACACTTGCAGTGATTGATCTAGGTCTCCATTTAGCAAATGTTGGTAAACCATAGGTTTTTCTCTATATCAGGTCATATAAAAATGGTTGCAGGATTAGCTGTGTTTTTTTTTTTCCTGTTTAATGTCAGTGTTTTCAATAGGAAAAAGATAGTTCTATGTGGGTAACTGTATGCTTAAGTAGTATATTATATAAAAACAATATGCCCTAACATACCAGTATAGCAGAAACTATTGTACTGTACTCTTTAAATTTGTAAAATTACAGAGTCTTGTATAATCTGTGCACTCAGAGTTTACAATTATGTCTATGTAAAATTCTAGCTCAGTGGTTCTCAACTGGTGGGTGATTTGGGGCCTCAGAAAACATTTGGCAATGTCTGGAGACATTTTTGGTTGTCAAAACTGGGAAGTGGGGTGGGTTGCTACTGACATGTAGTAGGTAGAGGCCAGGGATGTCTACATCCTACAGTGCACAGGACAGCCTCCCACAAAAAAGAGTTAACCAACCCAAAATGTCAATATTGCTGAGGTTGAGAAACCCTATCCTAGCCTGACTGTGCACTCTATAGCTTTGTTTTATAGTTTCAGAGTATTAAAACCTCAGATATTTATGTGAGTAGTTACTTAAATGACCAAAAACTTTAGCTATGAAACATTACTGTGTAGTGTATTGAATATAGGAAGTGATGAAGATTATAGATATTTTATTCCCATGTTTCCATCTATAAATAACCTGAGATTCAGAAAACAATACAGGGAATGTCCGAGATTGTCTAAAGTAGGTCACTTTGAAAAGCAGTTCATTCATCTAGCTATTGATGCTTTAGAAGCAGCGCACACTTTTTAAGCTTTAGTTCCCTTTCTTCTTTGAATTCTTTGTTTTAGTTTAGATACAAAAATTTTCATTTCAACCATGTACTGAAATCTTAATGTAAGTGATTGGTTGAAGCTAGTAAAAATGGTACCAATGTAAAAATGGTACCAGTAGTCCATGACCTTGAACTCAAATGAGTTCTTATTTGATTTTTAAAATAAAATAATAGCAGCTATTTGGGAGTGGGAGTGGGGGCAGGGGTGGGGGGAATGATTGTAGCTGTGTGTTATGAATTAGAGAAGCACTTATTGCACACTATCTGACCTAATCTGTAGAACAATTCTTGAGAGTAGATGTATTATTATTCCTGAATCCGAGGCTCAGAGAAGTCACACAGTGAGTAAATGGCTGATCTCATCTGTCATGGTGTATTTTGTCTTTGTCCCTCCCTGAGGAACAAAGTTTGTATCTTCAGTCCCTTCGGTATTTATTCTGACACCAAGGGCTTGCTTAACCTGGTGATTTGCCTTCAGTCCCCTGAAGGTGCTTTTTCCACAGTCCAGGTGATTCTAATGCACACTAAAGTTGAGAATCACTGCACGAAATCACTTTGTATTTTCTGATTTCCAGGGCTGACACGTAGCTTTAATACATCTCTTCTATTGACAGATACTACCTTGATTCTGCATTTGTTCCTTGTTAATTTAAGAATATCTTGAAACCATATGTGTTATTTGAGAATGGGTATACAAGGAAAAAGTATACTTCTGCTTAGTTACCTTGACTTTGAAATAGTGTTATTTTTCTATAACTGAAATAAATGCTTCTACTGTAGAAATAAAATTTGCCTATACTAACTATCTGAAAGTTTATCATTTCAAGTGATGCTCAGTGCTATGAGAGTTGAGGTTATCAAGCCTGGAAGAGAGCCTTATCGTGGTGAGTGGGAGCAGGGGGCCCAACATTTGTGTTAGGCGTTGTACTATGTGCTTTTCATACGTTATCTGCTCCTCAAAACAGCCCTTAAGCCAAGTCATATTATTCCTACTTGCATAAGAAAGGAAACAGTGCCTCATTGATTTAATTAACTGAATACTTGAAAAATTATATATCAATACTGACTCAAGATTTTAGCATAAGAGCTCTAAGGAGGAATAGTGAAAGTTCGTGGATGTAGTGACAAGTATAGCTTTGCCACTTACTACTTGTGAGTCATTTAACTTGCCCTGTGATATGATTTCCTCATTTGTAAAATGGGGCATAATGATACCTGCTCTGCCTATGCTTCATAGTTTTTTTTTTCTTTTAATAAAATGGTATGTAAACCATTAAATGCAAGGTATATTAGTATTAGCTTTAAGATCAGTAGATTTTAATTTCCTAGAAGTAAGCATGAAGATAGCCAATATTATTTTTGGATGGAGCACTCCTAAGTTCCTAAAAGTAAGAGACTTAAAAAAAAAAAAAAAAGGGAGGGCCAGCCCTGGTGGTCTAGTGGTTAAGTTCGGTGTGCTCCACTTCAGCGGTCTGGGTTTGCTGGATGCGGACCTACACCGCTCATCTATCAGTGGCCATGCTGTGGCGGTGGCTCACATACAAAGTAGAGGAAGATTGGCAATAGATGTTAGCTCAGAGTGAACCTTCCTCAGCAAAAAGAAAGGAAAGAAGAAGAAGCAGCTTAATATCTTGTAGGGCTTTGGTTGAAGAGCCTTGTAACCCTGCCCCAGGTGTAGATGGATTGGGTTGGTTCACTCTGGTAGAAAACTTCATTGCTGCATTTCTGAAGTGGTAGGCACACTTGGAGTGAGTCATCTCAGTTAAGTATCGCTGTGTGACAAACCACTCTAAAACTTGATGGTTCATGTTGCTCACGATTTTAGGGGAATGGCTGAGTTCATTTGGGTGGTTCTGATCTTGGCTGAGTTCTCATAGTTATCTGCAGGTTGGCTAGGTGGTTCAGCTTCTGGGGAGGTTAACTGGATATTGGCTGGGGGGACCTCAGCTCTCCTCATGGTGTTTGATCCTCTAACGGGCTAGCTTGGGCTTCTTTTAATGGGGATGGCAGGAGTTCAAGAGAGAAAGCAGAGATGCTCAAGGTGTCTTGAGGCCAAGGCTCAGAACTGGCACTTCACTTCTGCTATACCACATTGGCCAAAACAAATCACAAGGCCAGGCCAGAGTCAAGAGGTGGGGAATAAAGTCCACCTCTTGACATGGGGAGCTGTGAAGTTGTTCTGCACAAGATGGGGATACAAGGAAGGGTGAGGAATTGTGGCCATTTTTGCAACCAATCTGCTACACCCCCATTCTGGTTTGCCTAGGATTCTCCTGATTACACCAGTGGTCTTGGTAGCCTATCTGGTTTAGCATTTGTCCTAGACAGAAATACCCTGATATGGACATTAAATTGTATGGTCATGCTGGTCTTAAGGAACACCTTCCCATCCCTTTTGTAAGGATGCTGATTTAGAAGAAGGAAGGGGCCATAAGTTCGCAGAAAAAGAAATAAAGTGTTCTCTCAGGCTTTTTCTTGTAAATTAAACGCTTTAGTCTTTGTAATTGAAGAGAATTCTTGCTTCACTTCTTCCATTTTCTACCTAATTTGTCCATTTTATTTTCTTTGCTTCTCTTCTCTTTTCATTTTTCTACCTCTTCATGCTTTGTCACTTCTATCCTGAATATAAAAGCAGATGATAGTGCTTCCAGAATATTTTATTTTAAATTAATAGCTGCCTTTTCCTACCTCTCTGTCCTTAACTTATTTTCTTTTGAACTCAAAATTAGTTTCACTGGGTTGCTCTACATTTGCTTTAACATTATACTTCCCCAAAAGTAAATTTAATTTTTTAAATATGTTACTTTTAATTTGTCAAGGCTTTCTAGTCACTATCCTCAAACCTGAAGTTATACCTTCTAAATCGCCCACAATCCTAACCGCCTATTTCCTTTTTTGACCTCTAACTTCTTTTTGACCTGATGCTTTGTGGTGATCCTTTATATACATACATACCAGGTGATGTTTTGTGCAGTGCCTTAATTAAAAGCCGGATGAGGACTGTCAAATGTATCACTTTGAAAATTTCCTTCAATGCATATCAAAAAGGATTTAGCTTATGTATAGCTGGAAGACAACTGAAGAAGAACATATCTTCTTGGGGAAAAAAAGAAAGATAAATTGGTTGCTGAAATCTCAGGAGATTAATTCACTACTGTAGACAGAAGCATTGAGACCATGCTGTTTGAACTGAGACCAGGAAGAAATGAGAAATGACGATGATTATAAAATTTGAATTTTGATAAATATATTCTGAGAAGAACCTTCATAATGAGTTTCATCAGGACACACCTTTTATTATTAACCATTTATTTTTCTGTGACCCATTCATCTTTAAAACAATTAATAGGTTAATTGACACTACTCTAGTGTCAATTCTTTTCAAATCTAAATTTCCAGTTCCAACATTTGAACTGAACTATAAACCTGTATTTCCAATTGTCGTAAGACCTCTCACTCTGTATGTTTTGCTGTTTTCTCAAGTACTTGATGCGTGCCAGAACCATATTCGTCAACTCCCTTCTGTCACATCTGCAAATCATCTTCCCTCTGCAGTGGCACCATGTGTACCAGGTTCTTTGGTTGGAAATCTTAGTGATGTCTTCTAATCCTTTGCCTCCTTCAACCTAGTTAAGTTGTTGATCAAGTCCTACTTTGCTCCTTCTGATGCCCCAGATCAGCCTCCTCCAATTTCACGCGTAGGCCTTAGCATGGTGGCGTTTGCAGCCTGTATTCCAGCAGCCTCCTGCCTCTAAATTCCCTCCTTTCTAATCTTCCCTGGATGACACTTCCGGAATAGATTTCCTGAAGTACTGCTTTCCTTACGTCCTGAGAATTCACAGAACATGAAGTAGTGGAAGAGGAGCAGAGCTCTGGAAAGACCATGGGTCCATCCCAGCTCCACTTTGTCAGCTGGGTGATGTGGGGCAGTCAGTGTCTCCGAGCCACCTTGTTCTTATCTCTCTTACATTGAGCATATATGCCCTGCCTCACTCTCCCCATGTTTGGAATAAGAAAATTAATATATGAGAATGCAGTTTAAAACTAGAAATTAGCTTGAAGGTGTTACAAATTTGTCTTCCTTGTAATGAGTCTCCCATTTCCTTCTGAATCAAATGTAATGCCTACCCTGTTTAACATTTTCTCATACCAACATAACTAAATATGTTTGTCAAGCTGCTCTCCAAATACTCCATGCATTTTTCTTTACTTTGCCTTTGATCATGTTGCTTTCACCCTTGACCTTTTTATTTTCTATCCTAGAGTGACAATCAACAGAGCAAAGCTTTTTCAGATGTAGGGACTTTGTCATTTCTGTCACTCTTTACCATAATTTAAAAATATCAAAATGAATTTCAC